CCTCCCAGAAGAAACCTGCTCTCGTCAACAGAAAAGTTGTTATTTTTCACCAGAACGACAAAGAAGGTGATAACGAAGCATGGTTGGGACGTCCTACCACACCCTCGGCACTCTTCGAATCTGGCCCCATCTGGCTTTAACCTTTTCTTAGCAATGGACCTCGGAGGATAGCATGATTGTTGGCAAAGGATACAAGGAGGGTAGAGGATGTAGTCGGGATATGTCACTTGTAGATGAGTTACAAGATTGGTCCGAGCACACTGCTTTGAGGCGCTACCACTAATAAATGCTCAAACACTCTATGACCGTCCGACAAAATTACAAAAATTGTGTATTGACAAACTGTCAACGTTGGTCAAGTAATTTGTAGAATATAGCTTGAACACCAAAAAATGATATGAAATTGTAGGGAGGAGTTTGGGCAGTATGCTTAGCTTGAAGCTTTGTAGGGTGTGACGTGATGATGATGATGATGATGATGGAAGACTAGGAAACAGGGGTTTTGTATTCCTCCAGCACTGCAGTCTTCTGGATTATTTTACTTTTCCTAGTTCCTTAGTTCAGTTCAATTGGCTCTATCCTTCTCTTAAGAAGTATTAGATCATTGTCTGTCATTGATGTAATTCTTACCCCCGTTTTTTCATCTCTTAGATTATGTATCCATTGAGCGATTGCTTCGCATTGGGTGGCAGTTTCTTCCTCATTGAATATGTGGGGGTCATAATTCAATATACCCATGTGTGTCTTGTAATATCCAATTGTCCTGTATCCTTATCACACCGCCTCTAACTGTAGCAATGATTTTGCCAGTTTAGGTTCGAGTTTAATCATCAATTTACTGTGTCTATCACCTCTGGAGTTCACCGTTTTTATGGACACATTGTGAGATGGAGGGTTCTCTATTGATAACCCAAGTACAGGTTCAGGGCTTATATATATTGTCTCGCAGATCTCTGGCCAGTTTGTCTGCTTTTTCATTACCCTGAATTCCTTTATGTCCTGTCAATCAAAATATTGTCAGGTTGTTATGTTTTCCCAGGTTTTGAAGACTTTGGATGCATTTGTCAACTATTTTAGATGCATTAGATTTGTGAACTCGACAGTCCCCCTCTCTTCAATGGCCGTAGTAATGTCTTAGTGGAGATTTGAAACCCAAAGCACACTTTCTAGACGTCTTTGTGGTTGTCCTTATATTTAAGTTATAGTCTTTTAAGTCGCGTGAGGATTCGACGTCAGTCTGTTATCTATACCCTATATATGACTTGTAGTTTATGTGACTTGAGTGGAAGTAAGTAGTTCATTGCTATTGATGTACACTGGATGTACTGTATACCAGTCTTTTATAAGCTCAAGGTGTTCTTGGATGGATGAAACTTGAAAAAATGGATCGCGATTGAGAAATAATTTATTTTCCGATCCGATCCGGCAATAATACGAAAACCTTCTGAAAATAATTATAAAATAGCAAATAAAACTTGCCGATATTCGTTTTTCTGACTGAAAAATGAAAAATGAAGGATCATACTGTCTGGAAGCCGGTTATCGCTGGATTAAGGGGGATAACATTCTCCCTAAGCCGACTGCCAACCCCTGCTAATACGAGACGTCAAAATTAATGAAATAAATGAAAGCGGGACAACGTGTGACGTTTGTGAACGGTACGGCAAATAACGCGAGAAAAGGTGTCAGGATCATAAATGTCATTGGCAATTTTTCAATTTTTTTCTCACAGATTTTGACGAAACTTTAATTCCGAAAGCCAACATCTTTACATTTTGACTGTTTCTGTTGTAATTTCCTATAAAAAGGACGTGCATTGTGCAAGATGGTAACATTAGAAAAGAATTTGTGATCGAGTGTTAATTTTTTTTATCGCGGTACCACTGACAGCTATAAAGCATTCAACGTCGAGATGATATCGTTTATCACTTTTCCCCGCTCGTCTCTGTAATGTTAGGTGTCTATCGTTTCTTTTATCTAGATAAGGCCCGCTTTCAATGCTTCATAAATTTTCTGTGTGTACGCTTGTTCTGAATGCTATCTTTACTGGGGAGAACGCCAGAAGATTTTTCACTCCCCTTCGAATATAAAAAGAAATCGCAATTAATCGGCTCTTTTACTATGAGACCCATTCAAGATCTTTTTTACTGGATAAAAGGGACTAGATTTAAGGGAAATAAGACTTTTTGAGGTTTTATGAAAAGAAAACTTTTTTCACAAACGTATGACTTTTCATTAAATAATTTTTCTCACTTAACCTCTTACATTTTTTTCTCCTGTTTTTTAATTTGCAAATTACTTCTTACAAAACCTACGTCTTCAGAAAACTAATTGAAAGAAAAAATGGATGTACGTATGGTAAGATGTATACGTAAGACCGATAAACAACCCCGAAATGTACTTTCTTGCAAGGGAAGGATACAGACCTGGGATCGCGTATTTCAATGAAACTTTTTTGGTGAAACTATGTCGAAGGAAATATTAGAAATGTATCCGAGTATTTTAGCCAAGCTAATCCTTCTTCTGGAGCCGAGAAATAAAATATTTTAGATAATTTCAATTAGATATACTTTTTATCTAAAGTCTTGGTTGTGATGAAAAAGTTGAAAAAAAAGTCACGAGCGGGATTCGAACCCATGACCTTCGGTTCAAGTGGTTAGAGCAGCGGCGTATTGAGCCGAGGGCATCGATAGATCGAATCCCGCTTGTGACAATAACTTTTTCATCTCTACCAAAATTTAGATAAAAAGTATAATTAATTGAAATAATTAAATAGGTCAATTATGACCGTTAAACATACTATATGGATTTTAGCTAATTTAAGCACTTTTTTAAATTTTACTTTTCTGCCTTTGTTATGGATGCATTTCAAGGTTGTTATAAATCAGACCATTTGAATTTTCCCCTAGAATAAGAAAAACATCTGCAGGATCGTATTAAATGAGATGAAATGTATAAAAAGTTTTTATTTTTTTTTTATTTTTTTTTATTGGCCTTATGATCTTTGCATATTAGCCATGACGAATTCTTATATATGTTGTTCAAATTGGGGGTTATCGGGAAAAAAGGGCCAGAGGCGACGGTGGGAATCGAACCCACGACCGCGGCGTGAGAGTCTCTCATGCTAACGACTCGGCTACCGCGGTCCCCAATAAAAAGTTACAAAAGCTAAAATACGCTTTCAGTAAAGTAGGCCAAAAAAATTGTTTTTTGAAAAACCAACTCGGACTTGAACTCAGGACGCTTTAAAACTCGAAAATACGCGTTTTCATGGAAAACGAAAAGTAAACATATTGTAGACTCGATGATGTTACCAAATGTTACCAAAACTGTAGAACGCTACCAGTAAAGTATGTCAAAAAATGAGTTTTTGAAAGGCACCCTTTAAAGCCCTTAGATATGAATACGCAATGAACTCTCGGAAGTCAAACAGATACGGGCCGATGTACCGCAAGGTAGTATCCTTGGTCCTATGCTTTATATCATTTATACTGCTGACCTATCAATACATCTTGACACTATTATCACCACCTACGCGGAAGACACCGCAATCCTATCCTCTAACTCGAATCCTGTCCAATCTACCTCCAACATCCTGGAACACCTTGGGCTTATCGAAGACTGGTGTAAAAAAATGGAGGACAAGACTGAACAATACACTCTGTGCACTTTTACGCTGAAAAAGCAGTCTTGCCTCCATTGTACATCAACAACAAAGAGATACCAGTTTCCACTCAAGTCATTTGACAACTAAGATAAAGCTAACACAATACAAGACTTTACTAAGACCAATATGGACATACGGAGGGGGAACTGTAGGGTACTGCCAAGCCTTCCAATAACCAGCGCATCCAATCCTTCCAATCGAATGCCCTTAGACAAATTGTCGAAGCCCCTTATTATGTCACTAACCTCACTATCCACAAAGACCTCAACATTTCTTTTGCCAACGTACTAATCCGGTTCAGATGCCAAACCTTCCACACCAATCTTTCGAATCTAACCATACTGCTCGAGCCCTCTCCACTCATTCCCATCCAGACAACATCACCTCGACCGATGGGAGCCTCGGGACCTCCATGACACCTAGTCATACACATTGAGTGACAGCAATGCCTGGCTTTTCAAAGTATGTGTTCACCGGTGCTGTGCTGTCATTAGTGCCAGTGTTGTCCTGTGTGATACATTAATCATGTGTACATATTTGTATAGTATACGATCATGTATAGGTAACAAATAAATTTAATTAAAAAAAAAAAAGATACGAATTTTTATTGGCAACAAAATATTTTTGAGTCGGTTGCCGAATGGTACGCATGATAGACTCTCGCCTCTTCGAACCCCCGATCGTGGGTTCGATTCTCACCATCGCCCAGACCTTTTTTTTAACGTACGCCTTCCCCCTCCCCCCCCCAAAAAAAAACACTTGTTTTTTTTTACTGGGGACTTAATGGATTTTCTTGGTTTCTAATCATTTAGTACAGTATGTCTGCTGGACACTTTGAATAATGCATGGAATGAAAAGAGACTGTTAGCTAAGTGCTTCCTAAGATAGAAAAGATATGTGAAAAACAACTGTTTGTGTTGATGTGAGAACCTCTTTCGATTTAGAAATTGATGAATATTTGAAGAAATTAAGCAATCTCGTGTCAACTATTAACGTTGAAGATCATTAGCCTAACTGATGTTTGATTGAGAGCCTTTAATTAATGGCTTCCGTTGTTTGTAACTACTACACGATTAGCAGGCCGTGAAATTGTCTATCTGAAGCTACTTTGATAGAAAATCTTCCCAACCATTTGTTTATATATATTAAAATATTATATTTTTCACTCGTTTTTTAACCGATTTTACACTATAGATTAAGAAAAACACTCAAGAATGTCTCCACAATTTGTCATTAAAACTTGCATGCTAACATTACACGACGTTAGAATTACAGTGTGAACGGAAAATATATTGATATGAGAAACAATCCAGATATATTTTAACTTTGGCAGGAACAAGGGAGGAGATGAGTGACCTGGAATGGAACCCAACAGATTTCTCGCCTGAGCTATGTCCCCGATTCGAACCACAAGGTAAAACCACAAATATAGAATTCGATTAAGGCATGCCGCCTATGAAAATTGCTTGCTTTAAACATGGTTAGAAATAAATGCCTTGTTTTCTTTATAGATATTCTTGTAAAAGTTTATATCTTATAATTTTGACAACCAACCATTTATGTATCGTGCTAGTTTGTATGCTTCGAACCGTACAACTTGTGAACAAACATGAACAAATACGATTTTCTATGAATAAACAAGATCCTCCGAAAATTGTAAATAGTGCCATAGATCAAGAGGAGCAACAAAGAGGGCGATAAATTGGCCAAGGAAAGTCCGATTACCGATCGGCCCTGAACCCTTTTGTGGCACAACAAATTTCCGAAAATGCAGATCCACTAGCAATGAGTTCAGAATAAGTGCTTAGTTCAATGGAAATGCTTTATAGAATATGTATGCAAAAAACGTTCATAAAAGACAATAGCAGGACCAACAGGCCTACTAACCTTCTAAGGTCTACAATGATAGTAGGACTTCTGACTGTACACTGCAACGTCCAGAGGCATATAGACTTTGGTAAAAAGCTCCTAGAGTATCCAATCATAATCTTACAAATTTTTTTGGCCTGTGCCTTCTAGATTTGTAGACATATTTTACCGCCACTAATTGTTTGCAAAAGACAAGTAAATATCACTTGTCGGTAGGAATACCTTTGCAGGCTTAAATTTTTAATGAGATAGGAAAAGCCAAGGTCTGAAGGACACGTAATTCCTAGACAAAGCTTTGGGTTCTTGAAAAAAAAAAGTGCAGCAAAGAACACAAGAAAATTAGATGACACAATAGAAATTGGTCAGGTACGCAAGGCCATAAAGATGCCTGGGCATAATAACCTAAACCTGTACCTAGCACTTTGTTTTATAGTTTTCGTAAGTAGTGTTGCCACTTTGACTCAGATCTTAGGCTGAATTCAAATAATTCAGATTTAAATCACTGGTCATGAATAACAAATATAACGTTTTCTTCTTTCCTTTTTATTTTCTGCCAATGGTGAGGATAATGAACTTCAACGAACTTTCATTTCTTTTCCTTTGTTTTATTTTTCGGCTTTGCATTTTTGGAGTTGTATATAAACTCCCTAAAGCGATGACGATGGGTGTTTATATACAACTCCAAAAAATGCATAGCCGACAAAGAAAACAAAGGAAAAGAAGTTTGAAGTTCATTATCCTCACTACTTCCAGAAAATCGAAGTATAACCTTCCCATTTTTTTACCTATGCCTTCTAGATGACTTGCCTGGGCCTTCTAAATCGCATGACTCATTATAACAGTGATTTGCATGCAAAGTAGTAACAAAAAGAAAAGTAAAATTTCTCCTGTCAGAGCGAAGGCCTATGCAGTTTAAGATTCTTACTGGGAGAAGAAAAATCAAGGCTTGAAGGACACATGATTCACTAACAAAACTTAGGGATCTAGGTCATAGCCAGCATAACGGGGTACCCTAGAAAATGATGGAGATCCCACAATAGACTAATATTGGTCGAGGTGCGCAGGGTCATAACGTTGCCTGCTCCTATTAATCTAAACCTATCATTGAAATTTTCGTAAGTTGTGTTGCTCTTTTATGTCAGGTCATAAAGAGTCTGCTTCGGAATTTTCACAGAAGGATTCTAGTCTGGTTATTTTGATGAGGACCCTCTTCCTAGCCTACCAGCTTCTTCCTTAACTATTATGTCTTGTGGGCCCTAGGACCTAGACAGCTGTTCTCTATTCCTACTTCAACCAAGGCATTCCATTTAGGCTATTGAATAGATAGCAAACTTTAAAACCTAAGAATGTTTATAACAAAATTTTTTCCTAAAAACTTTTGTCCATCGTGTTTATAAAAGGTTTTTAGAATATGTGCAAATTTATACGATAGACGATACTATTAACAATTGTTCATTGTTTTTTTTTCTTTCTCATGAAATAAAGCACATATGTTACTTGCAATAATTAGTTGGTAATGTTTTCAAATGAACTTTGAATCCTTTCTTTTTTTGCCAGTTCGAGGAGGCGGTCGAGACTTTTGTTAGAAGCTTTTTTCAAATTAATATTCTCCTTGGATTTTAGACTGTGCTTTATCTTGGGCGCATTCCAATTCGAATTCTGGAACTGGATAGACGGGTTCAGTCATTCAATATCTCAGACAATCGTCAATTCGCCTCACGCTCCGTCTTTGCGCCCTGTGAAGATAGGAAAAGGGAGCTGACAAAGATTTGTCATTCTTTAGCTCGATGAATTACCGCAATTACATCAAAATATTTATTTATTGGTTTTAGTTGGCTCGAAAAATAATTTTAAACCGTCATTGTGAATCTCTAAACATGACTATTTTCATCTCTTTAACCATTTTTCAGTTTATAATATAATCTAACGATATTTTGTGAAGAGCCACTTGTGCTAAATAGAGCTGTCAGCAGGTCAGCAACAGCATTAAGAAGATATCTAGCTGCCATATTTGACCAATGATTTTCTTGGGGTGCGCAAGGTCATAAAGAAATCTGTTCCCAATAACCCAAACCACCTTCTGAATTTGTTTTCACTTGTGCATTCTAGATCGACATGCCACCGACTTCTAGATCTCATGAATATTCTGGCCGCCACTACTGGCATGGAAATTACTAAAAAAATGAGAACTTTTCGGTTGAAGATCTATGCAGGTTGAGAGTCCTAAGTAGTAAAAAGTAAAAAGCCTTAAGCTTAACGAAGTACACTATACACTGATGGAATAGAGATGACAAAAACCAATATTGGTCAGGGCGCCTAAAGTCATAAATATGCTTACTCCATAATCTAAACCTAAACCTAGCACTTTTGAAATTTTCATAAGTTGCCATTTTCGACTTAGCTCTTATACTTAATAAATCAATTTGTTATTACTTAATTTATTGATAAGTGAATATCAATTTATAACTTTGCCAAATGTATTACACCACTGCCGCCTAGATGGGCATGGCTTCTAGATCCCACGGCACATTCTAACCGCCAAGCCTATTACACTTTAATAAACAATGTTAATTAATAAACATGCAATGAATATATTTTAATTCATTTAATTTTAATAACTGATTAACTGTTAGGGCTACTGATCTGTCGCAGGCAAGAAAATTTTGGATGAAAAAAAGAAATAACTAAAAAATAAGAAAAGGAAGTTACAATTAAATTAAAGGTTACCTGTACGAGGTACAGAGCGACAAGCACGTGCCAGTTCCAGATTCCCTTTTGTTGCCTAAACGCCCTGTTGAAGCCCAAAACCCACCCTAAATCTGGTCATATAAAGTTCGTGACTTGTACTTCAAAATTAAGCATTTTGTCCGAACCGCCCTGTGCGTCTCCACAACTGGATAGATGTAGTTGACTCGCCCGATGAAGACTTACCGTCTCCAGGGCACTCGTCGAAATAAAAATAAAAAATCACGAAAATAATAACTTCTACTGCACTAATAAAACAGGATAAAGAATTAGATATTGATATTGAATGGAGAACAAAATGGATTAATGGAATTAAAAACATAGGATTTTAAAGGCGTTTGACAACAGGTAGCGTATGAAGGGCAATTGAACGGTAAATTTTAGTAAATGGCGTAAACTCTAACAAATATAACCTTCCTAGTTGTTTGTCACCTGTGCCGTGCAGATCGACATGCCTTCTAGATCTCACGACACATTATAGTCACATGATGATAATAGATAACATGAAGTTTATTGTACAATTGACCAGGTTGGTCGTGGTACGCAACTCCTTTTAATCTTAATACTTAACAACCAGTTTCCTTTATAATTTAATTTTTTAAGCGATCTGAAAAATCAATTCGCATTCTGTATTATGGAAAGTGCACTCCCTTTAAGGTGGTTGTACTTACAATCCATTCTTTTTTTATGGCTCTTCGGAATTTTGACAGAAGGGTGGATCCTGTAGGATAATAGGATAGATAATAGGATCGATCCTATGGTGCTGCTGAGGAGCCGTTCCTCGTCTATCAGCTTCGTCGTTACACTTCTAGGTCCCAGGCAGGCTATTCCTACTTCCCCCAAAGCACTCATACTGTCTCATGGTGAATGCGATCTTACTTCAGATGAGGCAATGCTTTGAGGGCTTGGCTGTCATAATCTTGTGCCGCCTAAATCAAAAAACCTAAATCTACCATCCAATTTTTTTCACCAGTGCCTTCTAGATCTAATTACCACGGCTTTCTAGATCAAATGATTTATTGTAGTCGCATTATAGAAGAGCTCTAGACAATGGTGGATATTGCACAATATTGGTAGCGGTACGAAGGTCGGAAAGAGACCGACTCCTAGTAACGGGACCACATTATACGTTTACACAAATACTTACTCCGTATAAATCTACAGACACGTAAAAGATTTAAAATTCATATTTTCAAGATACGGAAATTCATTTTTTGCCTATATGTATTGCCTATATGAAGTATTAATTATCCAGTTTGATTTGTGAAAAAAGGAAGATTTAAATGCGCGTATTATTATGGCGCACACTTGCAATTGTTATATGTATTATCGGTTTTTATTTTTGGCCGGACATACACTTGAGGATTACAATGAAAAGGATAAGTGGAATTAAGCCCTAAATGCATGGTTTCCTGGAATAGGGGTGGGTTTGTCGGATTAAATTGGAACGAGGCCGTTGGATACAAGTAGCCGTTTTTCATAGGGTTCGCGATGGAGGTAAGCGAGCGTATTTTCTCATTCAACTGAATTCCTTGATTCACAACACTTCCGCTTCCTTCCTAGGGGATTTCATTTCGGTTTAATCTAATCCTTCAATCTATCCCAATAAGCCGTTCTTCTTCTCGTCCTTCGTTCTCCGAATTGTAAGCCGTACGACTTCATTATCATTTCTGACCTGTCTTCTCCGTTATCCCGCATTAAATTGAGCCCTATTCTGCCTTCCGCCACCCTTAATATTTCAGATCCGACAATTTTCCCATTATAATCCTTTTGGCAAGTGAAACCTTTTAATTATGGGAATTGGGAGAAAGAAATACGCAATATAGACTATAATAAAGATGCTCCAATTGTTAATAAAAAAACCCTTCATGTATTCAACACTCGACGAGCAGGTATTACTAAAGAATAAGATAATTAAAATTAAACGTATTCGTCTGATAGCTGCACTGTATAGGATAAACGGACATATATTATACAAATTTTTAAAATAGATTATGATTATTAGATTGTAAAAAATACATCTAAGAAAACCCTTGATCGATTTCGATAAACTAAAATTCATTTTTCATTAAAAAACAACAACAATGTACTTGAATATACAGAAAAAAACAGAGACTTGTATCTGAAAAAGAAAATTGATTAACCAGGCTGCATTTTGATTTTAGCAAGGGTTCAGTTATTTATAACTGCACTGCCCATAAAATAAAAAAACCACCTCGTTTTTGTATGAAATATGGCCCATTTGGAAATGCATATTTTCTCAGGCTTTTAAGTCACACACCTGCGCTAGGTCTCATTTTTAGAAAATTTGACGCTGAATAAAATGAATTTTAATAAGCTTTCAATTTGACACCTTCCACTTTGCCCGATTTCTCAGCCGTTTTTGAGTTATTCGCGGTTTTTGAGCAAAAAACGTGGTTTTTTACGTGCTCATGGAAAAATCCGATCACTCTCTCTCTCTCACCCGATTTTTCCTACATAAACCTATTGTTTCAATACGTTTTTCAAAGTCAAACTGCGACACAATACCTGTGAAATGAGAAGGTAAAGTTGAATTTCCTTCCGAAGTACATAACTGGTTATCGACAGCAGAAGCATTCCAAAAAGTCAAAGTAAGAAAACGTGTTAATTGTCGCTGTTCTGGTGACTTTTATGAAAAAGTCCTCGGAAAGAAAGTTGCAGAGCGTAAAATTTGCGAAAACATGACGATCTAAGATTTACGCATTATTGAAAATCGGGAGAGAGAGTGATTCGTTTTTTTCCATGGGCTCGTAAAAACCCCTGTTTTTGTCCAAAAATCGCGAATAACTGGTAAACGGTTGAGAAATCGGGCAAAGTGGAAGGTGACCAATTGAAAGTTTATTAAAATTTCCTATCGATTGCTAAAGAGCGTCGCTCCGGCATTATTTCATGGCTTGACAGTTCAATTTGAAGTTTTCGTAAAAAGTGCAAAAATAGACATGTTCCAGAATTTTTAAATTTACTGATGAATGACTGACGGTAGGAAAACATTTAAAAAAGCCATTTTGTTCAGCGTATCATTTTCTAAAAAATGAGACCTAGCGCAGGTCTGTGACTTAAAAGCCTCAGAAAACATGAGTTTCCAAAATTGGCCATTTTTTCATGAAAAAATGAGCTGGTCGGTTTTTTCGATGGGCAGTATCACTGGGCTTAATGCATGCAATTTTTCCCTGATAGATGTAGAGGCGAGGGCTTTATTAGCAACCACTTTCTTGCTTTATATATAAAAAAAATTTAGTCGTTCTTAACTATAGTTTTTTTGGTGTGATTACTAATTAATTAAATTAAATTTATTTCATACTGTTTATTATTTTTGTTCCAGAAAAGTACAGATTCCCGGCCCCAAGGGATTACAGCATACTATGCACGTAAGATTTTTCCTTAATTTTTTTAAATGTGCGTCATAATCGTGTTATTAAACTTGTTTATTAAAATTGATATACGAACGACCATTTTCCTTCCGGGCCGAATCGTGAACGCCGCCTCGGCTCGCCCCTCGAGTGAATTGTTGTTCAACAGAATTGTTTGAGAACGGCAAATATTTGTCCCTAGTTAAATATACCACCCCTTTATATACATCCTTCCAGGAGTTGAGTACATTTGTCGATTTAATTACAACCGTCTGAGAGAAGTACCTATAAATCCTTTCCCAAATCCAATAAGCCTTAGCCATTTATTGACTCAATATCTTTAATGGTGTTAAAACGAAAATTCGACGAGGTAATAAGTACACAGAAAACACTAATCCATACGTTTGAAATGTATAATAATGCGTTTTCCAATGTCTACGTCACATGCATACCCTTCTAAATATTATCTGCCGGCATTTATATTGAAAACACTGCCTCACTTTTATTCTTTTTTATTGATTTGGACATCTGTAAAGTAATTGCTTACAATTTACCTCAGTGTCTGATTTACAATTATCCCTTGGATGTCATGAGGTGGAGAGGAAAGGTGAACTAGTGAGTCATCTGCTTAAATGTATTTGGACCAAAGGGAGACGACCGGGCTGCGGTAGAATGATCAAGTTTTAAGGAGAAGTAAAGAGTAAGGAGAAGGGAATAATCTACGCTATCAAAGACTCATAACGGCCAGTCCCCTCACAGGCCACACTGAAAAAAGAGCGAAATTCATCTGCCAGACGAAAACAGGGTAGACATTCAAACCAGAATGATCAGACAGGAGAAATCAACAAACTAACCCGTTTCTAACTGTAACTCTACCTAACTCTAACCCTACTACGTTTTTCACTCTACCAAATTTAATCCTGTTTAACTCTACCTTACGTAACCATAACTCTAATCCTACCTAACTGACAGTTAAGCTGGATGCCTGCCCTGTTCTTAACCCTACCTAATACTTACCCTATCTAACTCTAACCCCACCTAAGTTAACTTGTCCTGTTCTTAACCATACCTAACTTAACTTGTTCCTAACCCTATCTAAGCGAACCTGTCCTGTTGTTAACCTACCTAATTTTAATCCTTTCTACCCCTAACTTTAACCATTCCTAACCTAATCAAATTCGTGCGCAGTCACGTGGTAACACAAAGTCGATAATGCCAAAATGCTCACGAAAAAAAATGAGTTTAAAAACTGTGTTAAAAACTGACGCTAAAATTGTACGGCAGTTATACACCCTAGCAGTACATAACTCGCAAATAACTTGCAACATCTGCAAATAAAACCTCTGGTTAATATTAATCTTATCCGTCCCTAACATAATCCGTTTCTAATCCTAACTCTATATAACCCTACCCTAACCCTATCTGACTCTAACCGTACCCCTACCCCACCTTATCTGACCCTACTTAACCTAACCTGCACCGTTCTTACCCCTACCTAACATAACCTGTTCTGTTCTTAACCCTACTTAACCTGTTCCTAATTCTACCTAACTCTAATCCTAAGAATGGTGATTTCACACTGGCCAATAGAATAGTAATTACTTAAAATTTAAATGATTTTAACCATTTCAAGATACCTACAAGAGTTTTTTTTCACAGACGCTCATATTGTGAATTTAGTATTGAAATTGGAAACTCTCTATGCTGGAGAATTTTGGAGCAGCAGATTGTGTGGAAAAGTCACGATGAAATCCAAATTGAAGGGGATTGTAAATAGGCTAATTTTTGAAGAGGTTTACCAGAGGATAAATATTATGATGAAGTCATATGGGGATTAGGAATTTTATTCAGAGGTTTTACAATAGCTTGCCTCCCTTATTTAGGAAATATTGATTCTGAAAAGAATGGGCGTTAATTAGCGTTTCAGCGTTTTCTATTTGTATTTTAACCAGTTCAAGATACCTACAAGAGTTTTTTTACAGTCGCGCATATTCTGAATTTAGTATTGAAACTGGGAACTCTCAAGTCCCCTTCTGGTTTGTCGATTGTTAATTTATTCTACGTAGTCAATTTAGATTGCCGGCTTAGAAGTCTTTGAGGCCGCCCGTGATTTGCATTTAGGCCCGATTCATCCGTTTGTGGGTATAAAGCCCGAGGAATAGCGGTTCGTTTTTATGTTTATTGCCGAAAGATAAACATCCTTCACGCAATCGATACGCTAATAACAAAAAGATGCTGTTTAACATAGAAAATTTCCATTTGATAAATATTTGTAAGGAAATAAAGGATGATGTAATTTGGAGGATTTTAGTTCCCGTAGAAGTGAAATAATTCACAAGTTAGTTCATCTAAGTGGCCATTATTTTTAAAATATGGCCTTATAAATTGTCCAAGTATTTAACTTGTTTTGTGTTCCTCTTGTCTTCCTTAAGTAAATTTTCTATTCCCCCGATTTTCCCGCATTGCAGTCTCTACTCGTGCGATCCGGGGAGCATTCATCCTATCGTGTCTTACCTTCGAAACCTATCCCGATCCGACCCAGTGACGCTAAGCGAGGAAGAAAGAATATGGTAAAGAAAAAGTGGCGTTAAATACCTCATAAACATAACCTACATCAGATTATCTTACACAGTACATCCAACACACCTACCCTAAGTTTACCATAATAGTGTCAGCAACATTTTTCAACAGTATAAACTTAATTATTAAGTAAAGTAATCAAAATGGTAAAATCTGGTTGTCCTAATCAAGAAAGATCAATATTTTGACTAACAATAGGAAGTTGAACTCTCTCTCCTCACTCCTCTCTCTCTCTCTCTCTCTCTCTCTCTCTCTCTCTCTCTCTCTCTCTCTATCTATCTATCTCTCTCTCTCTCTCACACACATATATACACACACTCACTCTCGGTTTGTCTTATTTTTATTTATTATTAAACTTATTATTAAAGATTATTTGGAGTTCGTGAGATACGGTCTGGTGTGACGTAGGTTTAGAAAAACGTTTTCTTTATCGTGCCAACGTTTCGATCTTTATAAAGATCATCTTCAGGGCCTGGGATTTAGAAACATTGTTTAAATTATACAAATATATGTAAGATGTGAAAAAATGTACTTATACAATGATAGAAATTTTAGACTCAATCAACGTATTTGTACGCACTCAAAGTTCCCCACTCCTTCAAAATCAACGTATATAAACAAAAAACATTAATATCTCACTGGCACTCTCAACTCGACACACAAAAATGACACATCTACACAGAAAACCAACACTTTGTGTGAGTACAAATACTTTGATTGAGTCTAAAATTTCTATCATTGTGTAAATTTATTTTTTCAAATCCTACATGTATTTGTATAATTTAAACTATGTTTGAAAATCCCAGGCCCTGAAGATGATGTCAATAAAGATCGAAACGTTGGCACGATAAAGAAAATGTTTTTCTAACCTACATCGCGCCAGACCGCATCTCACGATCTCCACATAATCATTATTTAACAGTCACTAAACACGACACACTTATTATTAAAGACAACTTTCAATAATTATGTACCCACGATGGAAATAACACTATCAGGTTATCAATACAACCAATTTACAATACAACCAACAAACCTATCCGTTTAACCTAATTTTACGATAATCATGTCAACAACAATATCCATAAATATAAATTTATTTATCAAATAATGGTTTGAAGCTAAAATCATATAGATTTAGTGCTTTTATAGCTGACAGACTTTCCAAAAGTATGTAGATTCGGACACCTTGGTTTTCTTCTTTAACATCACCTATACGGTTATCTTTTACTGTGTAACCAACACACCTACATATTTCAACCGTAGTTCGATTCTGCATGTGTATGTCTGTGCATGATTATGCTTAAATCAATCATCAATCAATCATATATAAGGATTTTGAGCGTTTAAAAAAGTTTAATTTGAGATTTCTTAATAATCTCTGAGGTACCGTGGTCCGCCACGATGACTGACGAATTCACTCCGACTATACTTTTCTTTGAGATAAAAAAATTTCATGCAAATTTCAACCCCTACGGGTGATCTTGTGCCTTATCTTTTAACCAATTCGTGCACTTTTTCCAATGTTGGACAGCTTTGGCCGGATTATTTATGATCAAAGATTCTAAATGCCGAAAAACGTCGCTCTCTCCCCCACGGCTGTGCTGTCTCAATTTCTTTTTTTTAGTACGGACAGTAATGACCAGAATCCCATCTTAAAAACATGGAAAAATATCAGTTCCAGTGGGATTCTTTGCAACCATATCCGGCAGGAAAAACTTTAATCTGCAACCGTGGACCAATTTGGTGTCAATGTCACGCGCTGAATTAATCCCCTAGTCACCCGTGGGGATCTCGAACCCAGACCAGATGGACGCGGTTGAAGTTTTTGCCCCTGATTGATGGCTTGGCTAAATAGATTCGGGTTGTTTTCGAGTAGTTCCCTCGGGACAAATTAATCGTTTACTTCTCTGTGGAATTGGTTTGTCCCGATCTGGAATTTAAGTCTTTAAGAAGGCAAACAGTGAACCTGAGTTGAGAAACTGCTAGGTTGTCTGTTCAATTAACCATTCGCGTGTGGTGTGAACTCTGTGGTCAGGTAAGAAGCAGGAAATGTTCAGGTTTTTAGTTTATCTGTTGTCAGTGATTCCGGAACCCGTCTAAGTCGTTCAGATCGGTAAGCTTGTAATTTCGTTGTCAGTTCGTGTTTAGTTCAGTTTTTGTCTAAAATTCAATTTGATTTCTGATCGTAGATGAACTAATTGACCATCCCTTTGGAGCGAATATCTAGTGAATTATAGTCGAACCCCTTGTGAACGCCGTGCATTTGTCATTGTACGATCTACAAGGGGATATGGCCCACAGCCAACTACTACAACCTTAAGCTCACAGGAAATGTACGCTACACTTTCCATTTGAACTTAAACTAACAATTTGGAAATTAACTCCTTATTAACATAACAGAAATACGAATTAGTGGATTTGGTCATCTTACGAAA